GCACGCCACAGTACCCCCCTAAATTCCTCTGATCACTGAAGCATGGATCATACTACCTTAAAAACTGTTCGCTGCTGTGAGATGCTCGCAGCAGCGAACATCCTCCACATCAGAGAGCAGCAAAGTGATCGCGGGGACTCACGCTTGAAAACAACTAAACCAGGACTAAACCAGGACTAAACCAGGACTAAACCAGGACTAAACCAGGGCTGAGGACGGGGTCAGTGCTTGTAAACATACGTCTTTACTCTGAGTGTCTTCTATGACTGTAAAAGTGCCGTTACCGGCGTCTGCATCAAAGCTCCGCCCACTTCTGTGTTTTTCCCCAACGCAGGACAGGACGTAAGACACGCACATGTTTGGAATGTGATTGATAACGCAGATGTGTGGATGCAAATTATTTTATAAACTGAGGAGGGGAAATATTTGGATTAAAAAAAACAGGCATGGCACATGGACATGGCACCACAGTCAAATGACATCTGTGTTTTACTCAGTAATGTTTTACTGACACTTAGGTGACTGCACATGCGCAAACAACCGCGCTCAGTGCAGGAAAGCTAAACCACGACAAACTTGTCAGCGAGTTACCACCAATTTTCCGGACTATGCATCCCTGGCCGATTCAATTCAGTGCAAGTCATAAGAGTAAACTCGGGTAATGACAAAAAATGTACATAGATAATTGTGTTGTGTTGTGCTATATTGGCTCATGCGGTTTTGCATGTACATAAACATATATTGTAGGTATAAAGAATATTTTTTGAAATAAATATATGATTTGCATTTTTGTAGTAGGTAGATCATTTTGACTTGATCCTTTTATAAGTAGCTCGCATGCTGAAAAAGTGTGAGCACCCCTGATGTAGGGTCTACATACATAACCATGTTAACATTAAATAAACAGCTTTGGGTAAAAATGGCAACAAGTGACAAGACCTAAGAACATCATTGGTGCGAAATCAGCATTTAAAATTACTATTCATGGAGACGAGTGTAAATTGTATATCTGAGAGAAATATGCCTGTATATCATTTGAACTCCTGTAAAGTGAAAAGTTTGTAACAAGGGGTAGGAAGCATAAGTTTCACTTCTACCTACTCCTTTTCGAATTATGCATATATATGTTTCTTCTTTTTGTTTTGTGTTGTATTGCGCATGTAATTCGAAATAAACACTACTACTACTACTACTACTACTACATGGGGATAAAGGTATTTAGATTATATGTTGTTTGATCATATTTGACCCACATAACAAACATAAAAAATCACCAAACTTTGCCACAAGTTTTTTTCAGGCATAAACTGTATTATTTTGGTGTTCTTTGGGATAACACTAAAAAAATTAAATTGTAGGGGGCGCTGTTGTACAACATTAAATGCCACCATTTTCACATACAAAGTCCGAGTTGCACAAAATTTGAATTGATTGTTCAACTCTCGGGTTTGGGTAAACTGAAAGTGTTAAAGAAGAAATTGCAGCAATAGCGCCCCCTACAGACTGAGTAAAGTATTACATGGGGAGAATGAGGTTTACCTTTTCAAAGACACACACAATCACTGATCATAGGCATTCAAAATCCACAGTGTCGCTCCCATCAGGGCGGTAGGAAAATGGCGCGACAGCGCCACCTCGGTTGCGTTGTGCGGCGAGGGCCGTTAGATGCCGCTTGCGGCTTTAATTAAGATTGTTTCTTCTCATACAAATATTATTGCTAATATTAACGTATTAATAATAATAGTAATAATAATGTATTGCTAATAATGACAACAAAAAAGCAAAGTGGGCAGCTACATGACCTCTTTCCATGACAGACCTGCTGCTGCTTCTCCTTCTTGTCTCTTGATTGATTGTGACACCAGGTGTCAAGCTCGAAAAGCTCAGCTTTTCTCAACTTTGGCGTCAAGGGATTCTGATGCCATAAAGTGATGCGCGTAATGCGTCCCTTTTTTTTTTAAAGGAGTTGTACTAATGCCTACCTGCTCTGTCGCCATCTCACACACATGTGTGAAATGGAGGATCGGATTGAAGGAAGTGAGAAGTAAAATTTCTGAGACTTCCTAAAGAGCGACTAAACACCTGTGCACAGCCTTACTCCGCCCACATGAACATTTGAAAAGTTTCTTTTAAAAGGGCGTTGCCTGGAGAACCAAGGGACAAGAAGGGGGGCTTAGAGTTGGGCGTGGTCTGGGCTGTGATTGACAGCTCACTTGTCTCACTAAAAAAAACAGACAGTTGTCATTGCTGCTTAAAGCAATAGTTTACAGACCAGAAAGTCTCATTCTACCCTTGTTTACACACTTAGATAATTGTAAAGCTACACACCTGAACCTAATCACACTCAATAATCTCAGAATTACTCATGTAATTTAATTTTAATCCACTAGATGGCGCCAGAATACTCCAAACTAGAGCCCTGCACTTGAGCCCTTGGCCCGAGGGCCCCGACGGCCCGACAGCCCGAGGGCCGGGCTTCGGGCCGATGACCGCATAATGACCTCGGACACGGGCCGGGCTCTTCATTTTCAGAGCGGCAGAATAGATTTACGAGCGCACCCACTGAATATAGCGTTCTATCACGCTGTAGTGTTTGTTGTTCTGTGTAGTGTTGTCATTGACGGCACATAGCATTACTTATGTAATGTGCAGATGTGTTGCAGCATCGGGGGCATCATACAGCTGCGGCCGTTCACTCTGCACCACTCCGCACACACAGAACTCATTGCAACACATCACTACCATGTATAACTCCGCCCTCTAGCTAAGTCTGCGTTCATATCAGTGCGCGGCACTATATACTACGCTAAAACATTGTTATGGGAGGTTACAAAAAAAAATAAAGGCGGGCTTGATGCGGGTTTCGGGCCTGAAAATTCAGAAACCATATCGGGCCGGGCCGGGCTGGGGCGCCACCCCCTCGGGCCAGGGCCGGGCTCGGGCCCAGATAATAGGCCCGTGCAGGGCTCTACTCCAAACTGCAGCTGGGGCGTGTGTGAGAGTTGAATGGGTTTATATCACTGGCACAGACAGACTGACGTCAAACAAAACAACTGATGTCATAGAGAACTTCAGAGTCAATGGAGAGGCCAGAACCAAATTCCAATGTAGTACCACCAAAAAGGTTGAGAGGGCGCCACACAGACGTTTTTTGGCTCAAAAGTGATATTTTATCTAATTTGAACTAAAATGTCAGAAGAATTACCAGGATATGTAGAGAGCACTACAATAAACATATTTATGCAGTTTATGAGTTGAAAAAAGTTGATTTGGTGTTTAGTCGCTCTTTAAACAATTGGAACACATGTAATACATACCGGGCCTCATTTATGAAACTTGCATACGCCCGAATCAGGGAGTAAATGAGGCGGACGCAAAAAATTTACTTTTCGGCATTTATCAATCTAGACCCGAGCTTACGGTACGTACAAAATATGCGCCAAGTCAATAGGTGGTGTAAATGTGTACGCTCATTTCAACCTTCATCACAACATGCCAAAACATGCATGAAATTCAAGATTTGGACAACAATAAACATAATTCCCACTCTGGAAAAATTATAAGCTGCGTTTTCATTGAGCATCATGTTTCGAAATTTGAATTTGCGCATCAGAAAAACTCTGGAAACACGCACATTTCGAATACATCACAGATCATGATGAGGAACCTCTTCTGTTCCTTTCTCTCTCACAGAGATCGCTCCATTGTGTTCACAAGAAGATGTCGCTGACGCTTGACCCAGTTGAGGATGAGAGTCACCACTGAGATATTAATATTCATTCATTCATTCATTTCTAAAGAGATGAGTGCTGCAGTGGGTGTAGACACTAGTGAAAAAACGCGTATATATACAATAGCGTTTTTTTTTACAAAATTATAAAATAAGACTCAGTATAAACTCAGTGCGAGTCACTAACAGGCCTTTTGAGGCTTCCAACTAGACTTGCTGGCCGGCTTCCATGCTGACCTGTCGTAAAAACTGGGCGTGAAACAGGTGTTTTCTGAACATTTCTAGGCGTGACTTTCATAAATACGCTGGTTTTGTGCGAGCAAATTTATCAACACCCGCAGGTGCGTACGCTCAAATATGAGCGGATCTCACACGTTCATAAATCCCGCCTTTAGTCTGCCGTTAATGGAATACACACCAAAAACATACACAAGTTTCATAAATGAGGGCCAATGTCTCTACCACGTTTGTTCCTGGTGTAGTAGTGTGGATAGTTTATCCGCCCACCAGCTGGGGGCGCCTGACGGCACATTATAAAAACCTTCAAAATATTGACGTTGTCCCGCTTGCCGTCTGTACTTCCGGGTGCTGGTCGCTCGGCTTGTGTGTGTGTTTGGGTGTCGCCGCGTAGCAGGTAGTGGCACTGATGGCTCTGGAGGCGCTTTTAATGCGCAGCTGGGGGCGCTTCTCTGTAGACCGGGTGTGTGTGGTCCTCTGAAGCTGGAGTCATTCCCTCCCCAGTAGAACTCCAGAGAATGTCCTACCTGAAGTTTGGAACAGCCTGAGAGAGCCGGGTGCGCAGCACAACCACCGCTGTCTTTACCGTCTTTTTTCGCTGTCTTGTATTGTTTTCTTTTACTGCTGTCTTCCTGTTGCTATACTCGAACAATACAATTCTGTACTACAACGGATTTGAATAACAAATGCAAACATACAAAATAAGCTAAACTTAAATAATAAAATGTGCTTAAATGGAACATTTTGGCCTCCTTCAATCCCCTTATCTGTGTCCTTATAGTTTGTTTTATTATTTTAATGTAGAACACTCATACAAACCCTCGGTTTGTCACACTGGCTTGTGTTCGGTTCTGGATTTATCTTATTAGATTACACTTTATTATCAGCCCTGCAATTTTGGGCTCCTTTACTCGCTCCACTTTGGTGACATTTCCTTTGATTTGTACCCCGGGACGTAGCCAGAAAGTGTAAATAGGGCGGGCCTGGAGAAAAGTGGGCGGGCCAACTTTTGCCAGAGGAAAAATCAATGTGATTAATTGTACCTGACATAGAGAGAAATGGGCACCACAGTGTTGAGCACGATGACGTAGCTCCAGAAGGAGAGGAACGACGAGAGCTGAGAACTGGCCCCTTGTTCATACGGCAGGAACACCACGAAGCTGGAGCCATCCCTGGACTCCCATATGGCATTTCCAATCGCCATGACTGTGCACATGAAGGCCAGGAAACCAAAGATCTGGACACACATACAGAGACACAACATTTTTTATAGACCAATACACTATTTTGTACTTTAGTAAATAAGTAATCTTCATTTATAAAGCGCATTTTACAGACCAAGTTCTCCCAAAGCACTTTACACCTTTCACACTTTAGTGTAAACTGTCCACTAGTCCCATGTGTACACTTATTACATGCATTTTTCATTTCAATCTTTTATTTACTTATTACTATGTTTAAATGAATCTTTCTCTAATCTAGCCATTCCAAATATTTTGTTTACGCAATGTTAGACCCCCTTTATAAGCTGTACATAGCTTCCTCTGTTGTCACAGAGATATGGACACAATTCAATGTATCTGAAATCTGTAGTGGTGTGAAAAATACATTGAATTGAGCAAGTGTAAGCATGCGTTTTTTGTTTTATAATTATTTAATTTTTAAATAAATATCATTTTATTTTTATGATTATGATTTTTGATAGAAGATTTGCATGGGAAAAAGCAAACGGAACCATCACAATCCAAATCAAAGTATAAATATGTATAACTACATATATGCAGACACAAAATCAGATAATTAATACAGCCTTTCGGACAAAAAGAAAGGCTGGACAAAAATGTATCAAAACATTCTAGAGATATCTTTGTCCTTAGACCCTCTGTTTTACTTAACGTAGGTATTAAGTGGTTATACCTACAACCCCTAGCTTAATTCATAACACAAGAATTCTCACAATATGAGGTTTTGGATAATTTAGCCAAAAATGTAGCAATGTGAACAGGAAAGTACTCACGCAGAGCACCAGGACATTCATGAGATGGTCCACACTGGTCCTTTTGAACACTGACTTTCCACTGTTCTGCATCAGCTTTGTGTCGGCACCTGCAGACGTAGAACCAGAGGAAAAAAAACATAATTTTCTAAACTCTATTGTTGCAATCCATTACTTAACTAATTTGTTCAGACCCTGAGATGCTGTTAAAAAACACCAATAATAACTCAATAGATCATGCATTTTTATGAACTCATTAGGAAATAAATCAGACATTGTTCCTTTAAATCACTGTGCAGTGCACATATGATCCCAGGGAATCACATTGAAGTGGACCACGGCAAGCTTAGCATCTATGTGGATCATAACAACGTTCACACATATTTTTAATAGGACGACTTAATAAGGTAATGAGCAGCGCGTTTGAAGGTAAGAGCTTCAAATCTTCAGTCTTCAGTAACACGTCTTGTCTGCATTCATTAAGCAGTATTGTTAATGAATGTATTGTTGCCTCTGTGACTTTTGCTTATTTTTATAGCCCTCTTCACTTGACCCACATCTAGCAACAGGCTATAAAACAGTTTTTCTTTATTGCTGTCATAAATATCACTATATTTGGTTTGAGTGCTCACACCTCGGCAAAAAACTTGGTCGCAAGGCGGGTTAAATACCCAGTTGTTTTGTGTGTAAGGCAACCTGAGTATGTTAAGCTTAGTGGGAATGAGCAACTTTCCATATTATATAGAAGACTGATTTTGCTCGTCAACTCCTTAAGACATTATTACCTCCAAAGATGACAATGCCGTAGCACCACTCCGTGTTCCTCAGAGTGCATCCTCGCAGCAGCACCTTGTCGTTGTCCAGGGCATAGGACTGTCCACTGTAAGTCAGTGTCCCTTTGAACTTGTCCAGACGATTGTTGGGAGGTTCACATCTCACTTCACCTGTTTTTACAGAGTGACAAAGTTCAAACACTTACATTATGCATATATATATTATATAAATTTGCAAAGTCATGAGGCTGCTTGTTAAACCATTGAAGGCGGTCAGGGATTCTATGTTTTCTCCCAGTTCTCCTGTGACTGTGAGGGCCTGTCGCACCTTCAAGTTAGTTTCACTAAAAGAAAAAGATTAAATGTATGATTAATAAGCCATGATAGTGACAACAGATGTTAGATGAAAAAAACATTAAGATCCATCCATCCATTTAATTCTGTGAGCAGAGACACCCAGACTTACCTATCCACGCACACTTCTCAGTTCCGAGCCTCCTCAACAGGCTTCGCACTCCATGGAGAAGCACCGGCTCTACTCTGAGCTCCTTCTATGTGACTGACCTCCTCAACCTATCTCTAAGGGTGCGCCCAGCCACTGAAGAGGGAACTAATTTTGCCCGCTTGTATGCAATCTTCTTTTGGTCATTACTCAAAGCTCATGACCAGAGGTGAGGGTTGGAACGCAGATTGATTGAGAGCTCTAATTTCCTTTCATTCATTGGATTAAAGTAAAGAAATACAACTCAAAGTTAAGGTGAACTTGTACAAACCCGTCTAGCTCTGCTGTTTCCACATACACCAGGTTGAGAGGTTCACTGCTCGACAACAGAACCAGATCGGCCTAGAAATAATACAGTTACATATTGATAAGTGAAGTGATAAGATGGAGGACTTAAACTTTGTTCATGCAGACAAATGTAAGCTATAATATTACATTATACACTTACAGTCACAAAGTCATTATTCTCCAGTTTAATGATGTCTCCAACTTTCACATTCTTCCATTTTTCCTTTTTTATACTGGCAGAAAAATAGTCACCTGTTAGAAATGCTTACATAAAACTACTATCTCTGGTCGATAAGAACTTTAGTGCAATCATAATCCTGTATCCTTCGATTGGATCTTTGATAAAGAGTGTAATATCATACACCGCCTAAAGGCTTTCCTTTGAGTTAAATAAAATATGCATAATTTTTATATTTTTTTGCAAACCTTTTCCCATAAATGTCACAATTTGTCCCAACAGAATTTTGAAAAAGTAGCAGTAGCACACCACAACACAGAGTCTTTGTCTTAGTGAAAAGAAAAAAAAAAGTCTTATTTGCATATATGTTAGAAAGATCCCTGTGAATCTCTATTTGACACTTTGGGCTGAGAGCTGATTGGCTGATGGACGATCTTCCTCTTTCTATACATTTTTAGTTATAATATGCATACTGTATCTCCACAGGTATAACAAAATCCTGTTTGCTTTAGATAGATAGATAGACCTTTATTGTCCACTGAGGGAATTTCACTTTTAAAGGCACTGTCACATACATAGAAAAGAGAAGAATACGGTTTACACAGAAAGAAACACATGCAATACAGGAACAAGGACGACATTCCAGAGCAGCTATGGCTGAAGGAACAAAACGTTTACTAAATCTTTTCCGCTTCCTTCTTAATGTTCTGTTTATGCGTCCTGGGGGCAGCAGAGTGAAGTGGGTGTGGAGAGGTCAGTCTGAGTCTGTGCTAACTGTCCGGGCCATGCGTGTTACTGCTGAGGTAGAGGTGTGAGAAGTCTGTGGTGGGGAGACTTATTTTGGATGAGGTGTGTGTGTGTGACTTTAGTGAGTTTACTTCCGTCGGTTGATGGAGAGCATGTTGAAGTAACAGGGGGAGCAGTAGAGTAAAGGTTGGATGATTGAAGCATAGAGTTTCAGAAGCAGATTTGAGGAGACAGAGAGGGCACGGCAAATAATCTCGCTGGTGTAGGTAGGTAGAAGGTAGCAACTATTATGTATTTACACATATTTTCATAATAACATATTACACTGCTTCGTTACTCAAATGGCATTGTTGTTACACACCCTACACTGATAAGAAAGCAGGTCACCAGAAGAGTGGAATTTGAAAGAAGGTAAAATATAAAATACTTACTCTCCGTTCAGCAGGACGTCCACTTCCCGGTTGTTTACCTGCCTGTCGCTCTTGTGTCTGTTCTGAAATAAAAAATGATGATCATATTTGTCTTGATTTGATTTGATTATTTAGTGTTGGCCATGTTTTGTCTTGTAATTCTACCCACAATGTCATCGGCTGCATCTTTCACTGCTGTTATTCCCAGCACCAGAGAGAGAGGGACTGCGGTGGTGAACCAGGACAGAGAGGAGACCTGAGGGATCAGCTGTGGGCGGAAAATGAAAATGTTCTTTACAATAAAAAGGATAGAGATACTTTTGTTTTGTGTGTGTGTACAGAGAATGATCCTGTTTATTGATGCGGGGGTACCTAACTTTCAATCTACAAAATTCGCAACTATGAACTAAAATCCATAGTTTCTAGCTCTCCAAACAATTAGGTTGCAATTAGTTTTGACATGCATGTATTTTTTGGTCTTGGTCACTTCTTTTGATCAACTTTTTTCAAACACAAAAGTGGAAAGTGAGAACCACCTTCACTCAGCCGAACAGCTCTGCCCAAAGCGTCAAATAGTGACTCACAGGGCTATTTTTTACCAGTATGCAAAAGATAAAAAATGTTGAAGTTAGCATGTTGCGGTCTGTTTTAACACTAACCCTTTCTAGTGTGACCAACAACATGTATTTTTTTTTATCAAACAACATCATCAACAATTGAAAATGAAAGTGAAAATGTCAGTTCTCACCTTTTTTCTCTCGCCTAAATTAGAAATTTGTTTGTGTTTTTACCAGAGTTAGATATCTTATTTTTTAACATTTAATTTACATGTAAACCCAATGAGCCGAGTTTGAATATTTCTATTTTAACCAAAGTTGTATGTATTCAATGACTTTTAATTGTATACTATTTAGTTTTAATCTATTTCATTCATTTATTGGGGTTTTAAAGTTACCTGCAGGACGAAGAGGAAGCAGAAGTAGACATTGGCGAGTCGCTGAAGCTGCTCAAACAGATTCAGCGGCAGAAAGGTGAAGATGTTGTATTTGGACGTCTTTATGGAATTGTCCTGAAGTTTAAACATAATTAAATACACAGACACACAAACACACATTTAAAAAGACGATAATGAACAGAAATCCTCTCTCTACTCACCGCATAGTTAAAAGACAAGTTAAACGGTCGGTCATTGGCACGTAGAAACCGCTCCTCCTCTGAAACGAGTTTGAATCAAACGGAGTTCAATTAATACAGAAGACATGATAGAAAACAGTGTGTATTTACCTTTCACTTTCTCTCCTCCACATAGCCCCCCAAAGAATGACGCCACGGCCCCCATCTTTACCTATACTCCATGTTCACACCTAAAAAGACAAATTTAGATTAGTCTTCTTCCTGCATGTGGTTTTTTTTCAAGGCTTTCAAAATCTCTCACACGGATACGGATTTAGATAAGATAGTATTACTTATAATAAGTCACTAAAGTCACTCAAAGCTATCTTACTTCATCTACATTGTTATGAGTTCACAAGTTTCAGAGATTTATCTAATTTGTGTTCATACATCTATCATAAAGGTAGCTGAAAGGAGAATGCAAGAAAGTGATCTAAAGCCTTATGTCCTCGGGCCTGTCTTAATGTCCTCAACAACATGAAGAGAGATGAAAACAAAAAGGCGACAGTGGCTCAGTTGGTAGCTCATTGGCCTTTGAGCCAAAAGGTCGTGGGTTCGAGCCCACCTCAAGACTTTCACCACCGACTCCCACTGCCTGCTGCTGTTGTGTCCTTGGCAAGACACTTAACCTCTGGTAACACTTGATGCCACAGTATGGCAAAGCGCCAAATTGCCGTTGTGTCCTTAGGAGTGTGTCCTTCCAATCCCTATGAACCAATGTCTCCTATGTGTATGTTATTATTGCATTTCTTGAGTCCGTACTTTTTGATTCTCTGATCTGTTTTCTGCGAATCCACAACTTTGTAAAGGTGAGACATCTGCTGTTGTGATTTAGGGCTGTACAGAAACACATTGAATAGCAATGAAAAATGTTTTGCTGCTTGTGTCCAATTCACCCCCATTGCCTAGAATGAGTCTGGTGTGTGTGTGAATGGTTGGTGGTGGTCGGAGGGGCCAATGGCACATACTGGTTGCCTCGCTTCTGTCAGTGTGCCCCAGGGCAGCTGTGGCTACAGTAGTAGTAGTAGTAGTTGTTTATCACCACCGTGTATGGAGTGAATGAATAATGACATGTGAAGCGTCTTTGAGTGTCCAAAAAAGCACTATATAAAACCAATGCATTATTATTATTATTAAAAACAAAAACTTCTTGGCACAGGTCACAATCTCATCTCATCTTCGAAATCTCCAGCACAAAACAATCTGAGGTTTTTGCACAAATATCAAGTGTCTCTTCATAAATCATAAACATTATATGGAAAGTTTCCAAACAAAGTTTTTGTTGTTATGTATTTTCTCAGCCAATAATTGATTTTCCTTGATCCCTGATATTAAATACAGTCAAAATCACAACAGCAGGCGTCTTGAAAGACTTCATAAAATTGATAATAATTGATATTTGCCGATTAAAAAATTTACTCTTTACTATTTTAAATAGTTTTGGGTCAAAAAAGACAAGCATTACTTTTTCCTCCTTTGGCAGCAAAAAACTGGAGCTATAAGGATGGAGGTGTAATGGATTAATTTAGATGCAGCCAGAAACGCACATGCATTTGCAGATGCGTTTGCTTATAGACAGTCAGTCCAATGGTTCTCAAAGTGTGGTGTGTGCGAAACTGAGGTGGCAGATGTATTCTTTCAACTTTACACTGTATTTCAATTATTTGACACAAAAATATGACCATACAAACAGAATTACTTTAAATAACACACACAAATTAGACACTAAATTACGTATTTGCTGTAAGTTGGTCAGCGCAGTATTTTTTGAGACCAGAAATGTTCATTTGAATTCTATATTGTCATGGACATAATTGACCTCTGTCTTGACACTTTTGATTTGTTGATTTTGTACTGTGTGAAGTAATTACATTGATTACATCTGATAAAAACCCAAACCCAAATTAGAGAAGTAAACTGAATCATTGCGCTTGCTTTTTGTCTGAGGGACATTAGCAACAGCATGAATAGAAATTGTGTTAAAGTAGAATCAAAGTGACTTAACCATAGAGAGTAACTACTGCATAACAAGCTGTGTACAGGAACTGAGACACTGCACCATTGACCAGAAGTGCATCGCAAATGACCTGATGTGCTTCAAGTGAAAAGACCGTATCTGGAGATCCTGATGTGCATCTGGAGTGACCAAAACCATGGCTTGGACCCTACTGATGTCCAAGATGACATCTCTCGAAATATGACCTGACCTGATGACGACTGAGACTCACCCTCAGAGGACCCTGAGGATCTGAGGACCTGAGAGAGAAAACTGGGGAGTGATGTTTATATTATTGAAATCATACATTGATGAGTGCTAAATGAGAGAGATACTCATGATTTCTTTCTTTTGTTTTTGTTTGTCCCTAGCTTCTGGACATCTGATGATCTATTGGACACAGCCATTTGCAGAACAAGAACCAGCCAATGAAAACGTCTATTGCCGATGCTATTGCTACAACCAGAACCACAACTGTGACAAATGCAATATACATGTTAAGTATTCAGACATTTGACAGACAAACCCTTTGACTTTTTTAGTCTGGGAGACTGAGCAACAGTTAAAATGTTTTAAAATGATAAAGTATTAGTATTGTAGCGTTTTTAGTAGTAGTAGAAAGAGTAGAATTTGACTTCCTTTGTTGTTCATAAACATATTTCCACGTAAGAGTTAAAATAGTACCCTACAATGTTATCCTTTTGATAGATCAGCTATAATATTAGAATCAGAGTTATGTTAGAGATATTAAAAGTGACAGAAGTCACAAATTAGGAATATGCCTTTGCTCAAGCTGCAGCCGAGCTTTGGAGTTAAACAATAGTGTAAAAATAGGAATAGATAAATGCATCAACCATAGATGCTTTCAAAAATAGAGAATATTTCTAGCCAGTGCTAATATCAAATGGTAAAGGGACCATTTCACAAACCTTTACTTCAAAAGTAGATAAAGTTACTTACAGTTTTATGTACAGTTTTATTAGATACCTTCCAAATTCACTTGTGTTCAAACATGAGTGAATGTTGACAATGCAAAAGTTCATGAGTGTAGCCTAGATTAATGCCTAGATCAATGAGATAGATTAGAACCAAGAGAGATTCAAAAGCATTTTTGATGCATTTGGGTATAGCCCAAAACAAAAAGTAGATATTTAGATATTGAGAAGTTCCCAGAACAGATTAGAGAATCAAACGCCATTGTAGAATAACTGACCCCAACCCCAAACCTGCTAAAATAGATTAGCTCTTGTAAGGATAATACTAATTTGATTAATGATGTACATTCATCCCAAATGCCTCACAATAATATCTTTAGATAATAAAAAGTAATAAATCACTGACCACTATAGAAGTGTAAATGTTGACCATTTGCCTTACTGTGTTCACAGTTTTATTCCTGAGAATGAGAATAGACATGGAGCAAAATCCCACTGATAATATGCCACTAATAATGAGAGTATAATACCACAGAGAGATTTATTAGATTAAAATGTATGTTTAAGAATATGGCTCAATAGAAGCAAATATGCAAACATATTTGTGAATAGATTAGAATAGTTTTAAACTATAGTGAATCATGAAAGTAAAGTACACAGTCTAAGATTGAAAAGTGAAAAAAATACAGTGAAGTGAAGAACAATTATCATTAGAATAAAAGTATAAAGTAAGAAAAGTGAAATTAGCTTCAAATTTGAGACTCAGCTCGTTTTTGTCTGTGTTTTGACTGAATCTGCTGAGTTCTACTGTGTCCAATAGTGTTTGTTTGTTTTTATTTTTGATTTGTTTTTGTTTTTGTTTGTTTTTTGTTTGTTTATTTACTTTATTTTTATTTGTTTTGTTTTTTCCCAGGATAGAGGATAAAATCCACTGATATTGATTTGATGATTATGAGTAATGCATACATTTGCTTTGTTTTTAATAATTTTTTTAAAGTTTTTTTTTTAGAATTTTTTTTTTTTTTTCTTTTTCCACTTTATTGATTGATCGATTTGAGTGATCACATGTGATTATGTGATCAAAGGGGAGGGTGTTAGTATTAGATAGCAATATGGCCTACGTGCAGGACTGTACAAGGACTCTACAAGGACTCCATGTTATGACTATGATGTGACTGTCTCTTTGTGACACGTATGTCTTTCGATATGTGACGTGACAATGACTATATAAACTGTGTACTGCCTTTATTCTGTCTGAGAGAAAGAAACAGAGTAAACCAGTGGAACTTGAGAGAAACTTAAATAAACTTCCAGAGTTTGGCACACCACGATCCGTCTCTGTCTGCTAAATCCTAACAACTCCATTGTGTATCCATGTTATAACTCCAGTATATTCTGATTGTCTCTAGATGTGACACGTATACCTCTCTATGTGTGACGTAGCTTTGACGTAAAAAATTACTATAAATGTCCTGACTTTGTCTTGTCTGAAAAAACCTGAAACCTAATAAACTTGGAAAGCTCTGGTGCCCAAAGATACCGTGAGGATAATTTTTGACAATTTTTTTGCCACATACAGTATTACTTGTATTGCATATTACTACATTGAAATGAGAACTTAAATAACATTCCAATGACAGCAATAAACAGAGAAAACAGTGCAATCCACTGCACGGTGATTGAAGGTGAGGCCGGTGTTCTGTCGAGTTGGTCTGCCCGGCGAGATGATCTGGCTCAGCTGTTAATGATGTAATGCAAACCTGTGCTGCGCGTCTCACGGCAGCCAAAGTAAACCAAGATGGCGGACATGTAGTCCGCGAAATACTTTAAAAGTTAAATATGAACGAATTAAGACACGAATGTCACTTTTAATGCAACTTGAGGCGAGATGTTGATGGTTCCGCGTTGTGATATGTGTGTTTTAACCCTTTAAGCGCCAAAGTCGCAATATTGCGACAAGCAACATTGCTCACTTAAACAGGCTGTATCTAAAAATGTGGTGCAGAATCTTGTTAATACTTTTCACCAGGGGTTAGTGGACATGTGTGCCTGTAATATGAGCAGCATTTGTGAGTGTGGTTATTTCACCTTGGAGAGACCCATGAGGAAAACGCATTAGACTTATTAGATTTAAGCATGTTTATTGATTGAGCATGTTTGGCGCCCTAGGCCCGGGCGGGATGCTGTTGAGCACGGCGCTTGCTCGCGTGCATGATCCCCCCGGGGCCTAGGCACTGGTGACGGCAGAGGCAGTAGGCAACACGCTTCATGCGAGAAGGAGGAGGTGGGGCGGCGGCGGCTTGCAGACTTCAGAAGATCGGGAAGTGGGCGTCTCCGGCTTTTAACTTGCTGTCCTGGTGGTTATTGACTGGGTGTGGGCGTTGCTGGTATTGATGAGTCGAGGAAGAGCAGCCTGTGGCCTGGCAGCAACAGCCGGGTCTACCACGGTGAACTTTCGCGAAAGCTCCATTTCACCTTGGAGAGACCCATGAGGAAAACGCATTAGACTTATTAGATTTAAGCATGTTTATTGATTGAGCATGTTTGGCGCCCTAGGCCCGGGCGGGATGCTGTTGAGCACGGCGCTTGCTCACGTGCATGATCCCCAAAAAGCGGGCCTGCGATTGGGATAGCAGGACGCACTGCGCGGGCCTGAGAGCATGAGCGAGCTGAGAACATGCGCGCACGCGCATGTTCAGCCAGCCGCTGTAGCAGAGGAATCTTTGAGCGAACTGAGAACATGCGCGCACGCGCATGTTCAGCCAGCCGCAGCAGAGGAATCTTTGAGCGAACTGAGAACATGCGCGCACGCGCATGTTCAGCCAGCCGCAGCAGAGGAATCTTTGAGCGAACTGAGAACATGCGCGCACGCGCATGTTCAGCCAGCCGCAGCGGAGGAATCTTTGAGCGAACTGAGAACATGCGCGCTCGCGCATGTTCAGCCAGCCGCAGCAGAGGAATCTTTGAGCGAACTGAGAACATGCGCGCACGCGCATGTTCAGCCAGCCGCAGCAGAGGAATCTTTGAGCGAACTGAGAACATGCGCGCACGCGCATGTTCAGCCAGCCGCAGCAGGGGAATCTTTGAGCGAGCTGAGAACATGCGCGCACGTTCAGCCAGCCGCAGCAGAGGAATCTTTGAGCGAGCTGAGAATATGAGCGCACGCTCATATTCAGCCAGACGCTGAAGCAAGGAATCTTTGAGCGTTTGAGGAAAGTGCGTGCCGCCACCAGAATCTTATTGCTTACTTGCTTTGCTGGGAGCTTACGAGGAAGCCGGTAGACGTTGTGCTGCCATGATAGCGGTCGCATCTGGCCTGATGTAGGTGGAGAAGCCGAAGAGGACCAGCGCCCCAGCTGTTGCAGAGAAGAGTGGGGGAGCCCCAGCGAGGTCGCGCGCGTGGCAGCGCCTATCCTGTGGCAGCGCCTATCCTGTGGCAGCGCCTATCCTGAAGGAGTGGGCTGTATAGAGCTGGGGAGACAAATTGCAGACTTCAGAAGGAGCAGTAGTGATCTTAGTCGAGCTCTGAACCAGGTTGCTGTCATGGGAAGAGTGTCTGGAGTGAGAAAGAGGTCCGTTAAGATTTCCTTTTTGCAGCGGAGGCGAGTGTAACGCATCATGGACCTGTAGGGGCAGAGAGATGTGTCCGAGCGAGCTGTTACTATATTGCAGGCTCCTTGATTTTTGAATGTTTGAGACGGAGGTTGAAATGGTCAGGGGACATTATGTTGGGTGAAAAGAGCGACCTTTGTGTAATGCTTCCACTACGTCGAGATTATCCCACGTGACAGAGATCCTCTCTCTGCCACGCGTGATTCCACAGCGCGCAGGCCACGACCACTGGGAATATCACGTGTAGGGCAGAGGAGATGCTCCGGTGGAAAGTAGCGGCCACGCTCGGCAACCAGTGGTCCTGGAAGAATCCCCCAAAAACCCACGGAAGGGGCAGCGTCCGTGTAGAAGCGGAGACCTGTAGGGGCAGAGAGACATGCCGGAGAGGGCCATTGATGTTGCAGGCGCCCTTACGCTTGAAACCTTGGGTTGGAGAGTAGATAATCAGGATAGTGGATGGTCGGGAAAGCCGTGTTCCGGACCGCATGAAGGTTGAGTGAGCAATGGTGAAACGCTTACGCAGAGAAGCCATAGAAGGAGAGCAGGAAGATGCTGCGAGGAGGGCGGACATGTACTTGGGAGATGAGCCGGAGTTCAGCGCCGCTGCAGGATGGACAGCATGATGGGGAGCCTGCGATCAGAAGAGTGAAGAATACAGGTATGGATGCCTTTGATTAGGAGTCCGATTGACGGCTCAGCGCAGCTACTCGGCCAGCTGCATCTGATAGAATCAGAAGATTAAGTAGAGAGATGAAGCATGACCGCCGAAGCGACCCTGGGAGCATAGGTGCGAGTCCAGCGCAGCGCGGCATGCTCAGCCGGGCTGCATCCATTAGAAGCAGGATAAGCTTCTGAGAGAGTGGGTTGCAGCAGTAGCAGCAGCGGCAGCAGCAGTAACCTCAGAAAATAACGGCAATAGTCCTGTATCAAGCCGCGACGGTAGCAGCAGCAGCAGCGTCCTTAGAGAATAACAGTAATATCCTGTATCAAGCCACAGCAGTAGAATGTTGTAATAGCTGCTCAGTGTTTCAGTAAAAGAGATGCAAGTGAAGAGAGATGGCAAGGTAAGTGAAGCAGCAGCAGCAGTAGTTGCAGCAGTAGCCGTATGAAGCAGCAGCAGTAGCAGTAGCAGTATGAAGCAGCAGCAGCAGTAGCAGTATGAAGCAGCAGCAGCTGCAGCATCCGTCGATAAATAGCAGCAATAATCCTGTATCAAAGCCAGAGCAGTAGAATAAGTTGTAGCTGTTTAGTGTTTCAGTAAAAGAGATGCGAAGTGAAGAGGGATGTCAAGTACATGAAGCAGCAGCAGCACGGCAGCAGATGCAGTATGAAGCAGCAGCAGCAGCAGCAGTAACGGTAGCAGTATGAAGCAGCAGAAGCAGCATTAGCAGTAGCAGCAGTAGCAGTATGAAGCAGCAGCGGTTGCAGCATCCGTAGATAATAACAGCAATAATCCTGTATCAAAGCCAGAGCAGTAGAATATTGTTGTAGCTGTTTAGTGTTTCAGTAAAAGAGATGCCAAGTGAAGAGAGATGTCAAGTACATGAAGCAGCAGCAGCACGGCAGCAGATGCAGTATGAAGCAGCAGCGGCAGCAGTAGCAGCAGTAACGGTAGCAGCATGAAGCAGCAGCAGCAGCAGCGGTTGCAGCATCCGTAGATAATAACAGCAATAATCCTGTATCAAGCCACCGCAGTAGAATATAGTTGAAGCTGTTTAGTGTTTCAGTAAAAGAGATGCGCAGTGAAGAGAGGTGTCAAGTAAAGAAGCAGCAGCAGCACGGAAGCGGTAGCAATATGAAGCAGCAGCGGCAGCAATAGCAGCAGTAGCGGCAGCAGAAGCAGCAAGCAGCAGCAGCACAATGCGATTCATACGAACAACAGACGTGTCACGCCAGCGTGCGCCGCTTGTCTCCGTGAGCCAGGTTACGTACGTGTCTGAAGAGCCGAGCCGTAGAGACAGGTGCAGCCTGGGAGCCTGCGGAGCGGCAGCGGCAGGAACAGCAGCAGCGGCACATGTAGTAGTAGGAGCAGCAGGAGCAGGCAGCAGGGACAGGCAGCAGCAGGAATAGGCAGCAGCGGGATCAGGCATCAGTAGGAACGGCAGCAGGGACCGCAGCAGCGGCGGTCAGAGAACCATGCCCACGGTTGTTTAAGAGCCTGAGGAAATAAATCAACCCGAATCCGAAACATTCCCATGCGAGAACAGATGTCCCCTGGAGCCATCTTGCTGCTTTGGTTATGGCAGATACGCATGAACGATCACTGATCCATGCGTTCATTAGCTCCAGCTCCACTTCAAACCCATTACATATTCACATTGGGCCCCTTTTCTTTCTGCTGCACTTTCGAAATGCAACAACTGCAGTTTAGTTACCCAGTTTAATACTAGTGACCTAGCTATTTAAATGCATGGCCCCTCCTTCCTCCTGCAGATAGACGAATTTAAATACATCATTTAACAATAGTGACTTGCGAGTGATGAGATTGATGCTGTAAAGATGGCGCCGTGCAAGAGCTCTGTGTGTGCCGTCTGGAGCACGATGGGGTAGTCTTTGCACATTTTTTCCAACGTGGTTTTACTGCAAGTGGCAGAACATGAATCTGAATTAATGCACATTGCTCCTCTTATATCCCTCAGACATTGGAGATTGATGCCATTTAAGATGCATTGTCCCTCAGTTAGCTCAACACGTGTAAAACGGAGCCTGCAGACCAAGCACGGGCGAAGACTGACGCCTGCAGTCAAGTGCGCGGGGCAAAAACCAGCCGCTTGCAGCCCAGACTCCGGGATTAATCCGTCCGCGGTCAGCACACTCACTGTACTCACATGCCAGGAGACTTGGGAAAAGCAACGGGACAACGCGGCACCGCCAGTCGGAGGCAGGGACACGCACGGCACCGCCAGACCGTCTGCGCGCGGCAGCAGACCACGAGGAACGAGCAGCACAGAACCGCGGAGGGGCCCCGCGGAGCAGCCCGCAGAAGAGCCCGCAGAGGAGGAGAGCAGTGGGGATATGCGAACCACAGCAGGTGCAGGGACGCGGAGGAAGAGCAGACCATGAGCAGCCAGACTGAGGACAGCCGGGCCACGCGCACGAGCAACACGTGAGCAGAAAGCGACCCCTCCAGAACCACGCATGCATTTGCGAACAGGTGCGTTAGCGACATGCACTTTGCAGACTTCAGAAGATCGGGAAGTGGGCGTCTCCGGCTTTTAACTTGCTGTCCTGGTGGTTATTGGTTGACTGGGTGTGGGCGTTGCTGGTATTGATGAGTCGAGGAAGAGCAGCCTGTGGCCTGGCAGCAACAGCCGGGTCTACCACGGTGAACTTTCGCGAAAGCTCCATATTGAAAGTTTTTGAGTAAATTGAGTTCGTAAAACACTTGCGGCGCAGTGGCGCGGAAGCGAAGCAGCAGCGGTAGAGCTGAGAGGAGCGAGAGCAGAGCAGAGGGAGAGAGTGTTTTTTATTTTACTCACGAGGTCTTCAGTACCAGAGAAGTACTTGGTCTGGTACTGGCTCACTCAGATTCAGAGGAGGAAGACACACAGGTGTCCAGTGAAGCAGACACGGACATTATTGGTGACGGGGAGACCGCGCTCCATAGTCCACAATCAGTCCCTGTACAGCGGCTGCTTGTCCTCCGTGTGGCCGCGGTAGAAGCATTCTGTGAACGCCAAGCAGGGGCCGTGGTCGAGGGGACAGGGGCATCATAACACCGGGCATGTGGGAGAAAGTAGCCGGGGTAGACATCCGCGGGGAGACGCGGGAGAAGTCGCAGGGGAGCCGCGGGAAAAAGCACATCGCTTATCGCGTTTACTGCCTTTACCAACAGCGATGATGAGGATGAAGGCAGTTCTTGAGAGAAAATAATCCACAAAAGTGGACCAGAAGTGTTGAAAAACCTGTTGTTTATTGTTGAGACGATCTGACATGTTCTGTGCCCATTCATTTCATCTCTCTGTTTCTACACGATAAATCCTGGAGCCTCATTTCCACTGAGAAAAATAGTATGCCCACTACTTCTTAGAAAGGGAAATATTGAAACCAATCTCCAGATTTCATGACTGTAAACTATAAAGAGTGCTGTCTTGATCACTGAAGGTCTTTGAAAATAATAAAATTCCATATGGCTGCGAACCAGTGCTAAAACATTATGTATAATCTGGATCAGGGAATTTATTTCTATCCCAAATTCATTTCATACTAAAGATATATTTCACATTTACTGTTTATAGTATTCCCTGATCTCAAATAACTCCCAAGCTACAGCTTTTTGAAGTCTTTATACAATAATTAACATTTTCCAAAATGGCCGCCACCTTGATGACGTCAGAATATGCAAATTAGATGACGAATCAACTTCCATCCCAAAGTTTGGTTCAGACTGAAGATATTTCTAATTTACAGTATGCCTTTATCTCAAACCATTTTAAAGTTATAGCCTTTTGAAATCTTGAAATCAAAATTGTACATTTTCTTGAAAAAACTCTGGCGCCTAAAGGGTTAAGAGTAAGAGTTTTGTGTAAAGTTTGTTTTAAGCAGTCCACTGCTCCTGTGAAACTACACTGCCAGTGTGCCCAAATCTGACTTGCGCATTTGCAGAAACCTGCCAGAATGGGGAAAAAACTCGATCTAATTAAATATTTCGTTTGAACACACTAATATAATCATATTGAATACAGTATGATACATGCATTAAATGTAATTTATTATTTCCATTATCAACCCGACAGACCAGTCACAGGACGCATCATGGGCCTGACGTATGCAGCAGTCAACTCAGGGACTGCGATCACACAGCAGCAGTGTAGTTTCACAGGAGCAGTGGACTGCTTAAAACAAACTTTACACGAAACTCTTACTCTTAACCCTCTATCCACATGGGTCATTTAGGGGAACTTTCCTCGCCTGGTTTTCTTTGTGTATAGTTGCTCATAAAACATCATCTTTTGATGCAGAGTCAAGCAGTATACTTTGTTTTTTTCAGTACAACCTGGGGTTTTAGAATATTCATATTGTAAAGCTATCATATGAATTATATAAAAATTATGGAATCATGAAGACAAAGAAAAAAATCAAACGGAAAATCAATTTAACAAAAATGTATTGAAAAAACACAATGAAATGCTATAAACAACTTTTTACACTGCATAGAAATGTTATTTAGGGACTTGGGGATAATGGGGAAAAAATTGAATCTCTATTATACTTTTTACAAAATTCCACTATAAAAGCAAAAAACTCTGTACTCCTGATGCCCTTCCTGAAGCAGTTTGTCTATAATGCTGGGGTTGCTTCTGTAGCACAGCTGTAAAAAACGTAAAACATAAGAAACTGAGCCAAAAAAAAAAAAAAACATCAATTATTTATATAATACATATATTTATACATATCATATACACATAAGGTCATTTTACTGTATTTATTATCGTCTTTATCAATAATTCGCACTCTTCAGCTGGTTATTGCAATCGCAGCTGTAGTTTCAACTGTGGGAGAACAAGTGCACACAGAGGAGTGAGACATCTCACTCTCTGACGATCTTTGGCAGTCCCCGTGTGTTTGTATCTCACAGCTGTTTGTACCTCACGGGTCACGCTTTGGACACGGACTTTCAGACAAGTGTAGTTTATCCTCCGTGCATCGCACAGACAAATCAAAACTAGTTTCGGAAATCCCTGAATATGTACTTCACAGAGGAAAAGTAAGTTGCTACGTTTTACCGTTCGCGAGTAAATTAATCATTTGTAAAACATGTGCGCATGCATCGGCGCCGATGCAGACGGGTTCATAGGGTTAAAACACACATATCACAACGCCATCAACATCTCGCCTCAAATTGCATTAAAAGTGACATTCTTGTCTTAACTCGTTCGTATTTAACTTTTAAAGCAATTTGCGGACTACATGTCCGCCATCTTGGATTGCTTCGGCTGCCGTGAGACGCGCATGCTCAGGTTTGCATTACATCATTAACAGCTGAGCCAGATCATCTCGACGGGCAGACCAACTCGGCCTTACCTGCCTCCCCTGACTGATGTGGTTTTTCATTTGTTCTTTCACGCACTTTCATCTTTTGTGGGCTGGGTTTTTTGCTTCTCTCCTAAGGCCTGCAATATTATTCTCTTGACTGCGAAAACAAAGACAGCTTGTTTAGCACTACACCCTCAAGGATTATTTATGTAATTGGAATACTTGAAAAAGACTTCTAATTGATGAGAAATTCTTGATCAAAGCTCTTGTGCCAAACACCTCGATTAATTAATCATATTTTGCAAACGTGAGCAGCTGCTAATTAGATCGCAAATAATTGGAAAAAGAACGCCTGATGTACTGTCGTGATCAATTTATAAAAGCTACATGGTGTACATTTATTAGTTGTTAGTTCTCTTACGTTTATTAGAATATCATTATATTTTTCTGCTCAACCAAACACTTGCACTGCAATTCCCAATGTAGGGATGGCATGATTTTCAAAATAAAATTTTAGATATCATTATAAAACATGTATTCCAATCATAATAATAGATACAGATTAGCACAATTACTCCAAACAACATTAAAATACGGTATACATTAAGCATGCTTCCAATTATAACTAACTTACAAATTATGACTACTGTGCCGTGGCCCACAGCAAGAAGATCCTTGGTTCGATTCTGCCTCCAAAGAGGGTCTTTCTGTGTGAAGTTTGCATGTTCTCCCTGTGTCTGTTTCCTTGTACTGCAGTTTCCCCTACCTAAAACCATGGGCAATGGGTCTGGATGCGCCTCCTCTGTAGTGACCGTGCTCCTATCTCTGTTTGAAGTGAGAGACAAATGACCACAACAATTGTTTAAGCGCTTAAGGCACTATAAAAACAAATATTACTCATTTACGTACTACTTTCCAGTTGGTTCCATATTTATTTCCGTTTTTAGGAACCCCTGCACTAGCACACTCTAAAGCCGCATTCAGACTGAATCATGCAAAGTCAATGATGACGTGCGTTTGGGTGTGGAACTGCTGCATGTGCGTCTTGGGACACACAAACAGACTGCGCGGTAGAGACACGCAAACTGTGCGGCAGAGGCGCAGGAGCGGAAAATCAACGCAGGCAGGAGATAAACATTGCTTTTTCCTCGGGACGCCCGTGCAGCGACCAATCAGAGAGCCGCAAAGTGGTCATAGCCTAGCGTGCAGCCTGAAAATACTCGTAAAAAGCACAAACAGGAGCTAAACCAGGACTCAACCAGGCCCAAACCAGGACTGACAATGGGGGACACACAGGCCCGTCGGAAGGGCTGTGCGACCTGTGCCGTCGCACAGGGCCTCGCACCACACAGGGCCTCGCAATCCTTCCTTTTTTTAATTTTTTTATTAAATAAATATACTAGTTCAAGAGTCCCCAAAGGGCGGACTGCGCTCCAAATTCGGACCCCTAATCCCCTTTCTCTGGACCTCTGATTTCTTTTGTTCAAAAGTACATTATTACAAGTGAAGTCAAATTTTCACCAAAAGCGATTTGTAAACAGGCAGGCGCGAGGGCAGCTATCTACGCAGCGGGTCCTTTACGGAGCTGTCAGATAACTTTAGCAGTGTCTGAGTGAAGAAAGTAACGGGAATGAGCCCAGTGTACGGAGAGATGGATACTCGCGTCTTCCGTATGAGGAGGAGGAGAGAGGAGTGTGACCAGAGGAGGAAGAGGAGGAGCTGCGAAACAGGTGTGTGAGCGCTGTTATTGTCAATGTTGAGCCCGAATATCCACATCAAAAACATATTATAAAAGCATTAGCAAACACTGTATGTCCAACGTTCATGCTACTGTGAGTGCAGTGGATTTTGGGCATAAAAATGTGGTCAGAGTGTGTGGAGGAGGAGGAGCAGGAGAAGGAGCGCATGTTGTGAGTGTGGAGGCATGGCAAAAACGTTATTTGATGAGGAAAAAAATAACAAATATTGACTCCGCCTCATAGCCATTTTGGCGCATTTTGCCGTAATCTAACAATTAGAAAAAGAAGAAGACTCCTTTTGGTTCAATCTTTTGAGTTGCTGCCATTTTGCCACAGGACGAAAGAGCCATGTCAGCTAAAAAGACCGCGACCAATATACCAATGCCAAGCGCGGTAACAGTTTGTGGGTGGGTGCGTGCGTGTGTGCGTGCGACGCTGCATTGGAGCGAGGACACACGTCTGCGCGCGTGCTGATCTCTTCACGCACAGCGCGAGGCGGTGCTGAATTCATGTCAAATATTATAACATGAAAAACTTTCCTGAGATCTGGGAAAAAGGTGTCAGGGCAGGGCCTCGCGTTTCAAGTTCGCACAGGGCCTCGCACCCCCCTTGCGACAGGCCTGGGGACACAGTACTTGTGAACGTAATCCTC